GCCCTCACGCGCTGTAGCACGGGCCCCTCGTCGGCCGCGCATTCCTGGAGCTGCTTCACGGCGTCCATCCTCTCATTCTCCTCCCCCCCCGTGTCGAACTGCGCCAGCGCTGCGCGAGGCCGGCCCCGTTCCTCCCGCGTCGCCCGCCCGCCCGCGTCGTTCGCCCGCCCGCCCGCGTCGTTCGCCCTCCACCTGTTCTTCTCGCCACTCCACCTCTCCTCCTCGCCCCTCCTCGTCATCTCTTCTCCCTTTTCCCCCGCCTCGCTCGTCCTCCACCTGTCTTCCTCGCCATTCCCCTTCCTCCTTGTCCCTCCTCGTCCTCTCATATTTTCCTTCCGATCCTTCCACCTCCCCATTCTTCCTCCTCGTCCACGTCCTCGCTTGCCCTTTCCCAACCCCCCACCCTCCTCATCCCTTCTCCCTCGTCCCTCTTCCCCTGTCCTCCTACTTTCCCTTCCTTCTGCTCCCTCCTCCCTCCTGCCAATTCCCTCGTTCATCCTTTCTTTCTCCTCCACTTCCTCCTGTTCCTTCCATCCCCCCTCTTCCCTCCTGCCTCCTCCCCCTTCCCTCCCCCCTCGGCCCCCCCGCCCCCCGCTCCGCGCTTTCCATCTGCCGAGCCCACCACCCCAACGCCAATGGAGTACCCGGATCTGCCCCAAAACATTGGCGGGTGTGGTTTTCCATTTCCCGGATTTGCTTGTCAATGTTTTGGGTTTCGTGTTTTTGTTCGGGGGTTGGCCGGGGAATTTCCGGGTCCAGTCCAGCATTTTCTGGATGCGCCCCGCCGGTTTCAACTTCTTGGTGCGATTTCCGGATTTCCCCCGTCAGTTCCCCGTTTGGTTTGCCTTCTTATGTGCGCACGCACACACGCGCATACTCGCTTATCAAAATATCAGCCAGCGTTGGCTACACATCGATTCGACGACCCAAATTAAGGAACCAAGGGAATCACGCATGTTTGGGATCCGCAGATCACCAAAGCAAGCAAGCGCGCAAGCAGGCGCGCAAGCAAGCAAGCAAGCAGGCATAGGCATAGGCGTAGGCAAGGGAGTTTGGGGGGAGGCACGGGCATAGGCATAGCCATAAGAATTGGGAGAAACGCAAAGAGTTGGAGCGGGGGTAACAAACCAATTAGCAGGGTTGGAGCTCGGACCCCTGTAGGGCAAGCCTATTTGGAGAGCCATCGAGAGCCAAAACAATGCAAATGGCGGGGCGAAATCCACATGCGCGTTTTCGCGGCGCGCGCATGCCGGAATCCCTACTTTAACTGAGTTTCGTAAGGTGTCCCAGATCGACGCTCCTGAACACAAAATCGCCAACAATCGTTGCGAAAAAACGTGTTTCAAACAACTTCTGCGCGTGCGTGCCTGTGCAAATTCTTACAAGCACGGGGGGGAGACACGACCCCTCTTTCAAATAACAGCATGCTGGCCACTCGCGCGCGTCGGTGGCGCCCGCATGTCGGGATCCTTCTCAAACCGCATCAGCGACGCATGGGCATCATCATCGCCGTCGGCGCTACCAGCATCAACGCCGCCATCGGCCTTGCCGTCGTCATCGCCATCATTGTCACTACTATCGGTACTATCATTATCGTTGCCGGTGTTTTCGGCGTCATCATGACATCGAGCCTTCCCGAGCCACCGACCAGCACTGAAGCGCCCGCCCACCAATGCGGCCTCGCGCGAGAGCGAGAGCTTGCGCACGCCAGCGCGGCCGCAGAGATGCGAAAGACATGGCCAAGCAGCCGCCGCCATCGCCGCCGCATGGATGGACATCGTCTTCGTCATCGCCACCGTTGCCCGATGAGATTTTGCCAACCAAATTACGGGTTGGTGGGTGGGATCGCACGCGGCGCATTGCACCGAATTGCATCACGTAGGTTGCACCACATATCTTACAACACATTCGTTGCACCATATATATAGTATATATAGGTTGCGCTACATAACTTACTCCATGTATGTATTCCTTCCTTACAAAGAATTCGGTTCTACCCCCCGCTCCGGGATTATCCGTTCCCCTCTTTCGTATTGCAAGTTGCATGCGACTATGCCCCATCGTCCATCTTAAACATGAGCCCGCACTATCCCAGCCGAGCTGGTGTCGACCCCCCCCCCGCCATCCTTTGCAAATAAAAATATGCACGCGCACTCGATGATGACAAATCATCAATTTTCAAACATCCTTTGTACAATAACGGAACGAAGTGCGCACACGCGCGCTGTCGTGCGCGCGTGCCGCAATCGCTCAGAAACTTTAGGTGTCGTAAAAAATCCCCGAACCGACTATCCCAATAACAACTACAACGGATGTTTCGCAAAACGGGTGTTCACAAAAAGCCTGCGCGTGCGCTCCTGCGAATGCTTGAGAAAACCTTGGTTGTTCAACGTGTTTATGAAATGTAATCGAAAGGGCCTCGCACGCGCGTCTCGGAATCGTTCGATAACCCTTGCGAGCGTGCCGTCGCAAAAATAATTGTCGAACGTCGGGACGAAAGGCGCGCGCGCGCGTCGTCGCGGGCGCATGCCCGAATCTTCCGAAAACCATGGTTTTCCCAAGGATTTCAATTCCGAGTGCCCCGAAATCAAATAAACAAATTTGATTTCGCAGCGACAGTTTTCAAACAAAGCTTGCGCTCGCGCTCGTGCGATTTTTCACTGCGTTGTAAGTTTTAAGCATCGCCGTTGAATTCTGCCAAACGGGCCTTTCGCACCGCATGCCGAAATCATTCGAACGCCCTTGCGCGCGTGTTGGGGGGGCACAGTCCGTGTCAACTCATACTGCGCGGGCCACTCTCGCGCGTCGGCCGCGCGCGCATGTCGAACTCCTTCCGGAACCTCCGTCACCAACGCGAAGACGGCGTCATCGTCGTCGGCGTGATCAGCATTGGCGTCGTCACTGGCCGTGCCGTCGTCGCTGTCAACATCGTCACCAACAACGGTACGATCATCATCGTGTCAACCGTTTTCGGCGCTGCCACGATACCGAGCCCGCCCAAGTCACCGGTTCGCACTGAAGTGCGTGCTCGGATGCGCCCAGCGGTCAGCGCCACCGCGGCCGCGTCGGTCTCGCCGAACTATCTGGCCGCTGCACGCGCGTGCATGCGCCGCCTGGCGCGGCCGCAGAGATGCACCAGCCAGCACCAAGCACTCATCGCAATCGCCACCGCGTGGGATTGCAAACCAAGTTGCGGGCGGGTGGGTGGGGTGCTCGCAAAAGCGTGGGACGTGTCAACCCGAATGTGAAAATCAACCACACCACATATATTCTCCTTTCTGAAAAGAGAATAGACTCTACCCCCCCCGGACTTAACGCTTCCCCCTGGGATAAAAAATCATATATATATATATATATATATATATGTACACTTCACACTCGTCCATCCCAAATATGAAATCATTTAATCCCAGCTAGGCCGGCATCCCCCCTCTCTGAGGTTCCCTGGTAAGTTAAAACTATGCGGTGACATTTCTTGTTCTAACATGACACTTTTCCACGAACCCCTTGCAACAAATGGGACGAAGTGCGCACGCGCGCGTCGTCGCGCGCGCATGCCGAAATCCTTCAAAATTTTCGGTGCCGGAAGGATTTCGCAATCGAGTTTCCAAAACAACATACAAAAACATATGGTTTCGCAACACTGATTTGCTAAAAAAGCTTCCGCGCGAGCTCCTGCGAAATCTGAAGAAAACGATGGGTTCTTCAAGATTTTCACAGAATGCTACCAAACGGGCGTCGCGCGCGCATGTCGAAATCTGCCGAACGCCCTTGCGCGTGTGCCGTCGCGAGCATCCTCTGCAAAAAATGGGACGAAGTGCAGACGCGCGCGTCGTCGCGCGCGTACGCCGATATCCTTCAAAACCCATCGGTTTCGGAAGGATTTCGAAATCGCGCGTCCAAAAAACCTACAAAAAACCAAGGTTTCGCAACACGGATTAACAACAAAAGCGTGCGCGCGCGCTCTTGCGTCGTCGTCGTCGTCGTCGTCGCCGTGCTCCCTCCTCCCGCGTCGTCGTCTTCGTCGTCGCCTACGTCGTCCTCTGTCTTTCCTCGTGCTCGTCGTTCTCGTCCTCTTTGGCGTCGTGGTCGTTTCCGTCGTCGTTGTCGCCGTGGTCGTCCTTCCTCCTCCCTCGTCGTCGTCGTCGTCCGTCGTCGGCGTCTCGTCGTCGTCCCTCCTATTTCGTCGCCGTCGTCGTCGTCGTTGTCGTCGTCGTCTTCCCTCCTCCCTCGTCGTTGTCGTCGCCGGCGTCGCCGTCCTTCCTCCTTCGTCGTCGTTCGCGTCGTCGCCGTCCTCCCTCCTCCTCGTCGTTGTCGTCGTTGTCGTCGTTGTCGCCGTCGTCGTCCTTCCTCCTCCCTCGTCGTCGCCTTCGTTGGCGTCGTCGTCGTCGTCTTCGTCGTCGTCGGCGTCGTTGTCGTCGTCGAAGTCGTCGGAGACGTCGTCAGTGTCGTCCTAGTCGTTGTCGTCGGTGTCGTCGCAGTCGGTCTGAACAGGTTTGCAAACCAAGTTGTTGGTGGGTGGGTGGGATGTTTGCACGAGCAGTGGAGAGGACAGCTTCAAGACAGTCAAAGTGTATTGCACCACATAGGCTATACCACCTATCTTGCTTAACAAATATTGCGCCACAAAGTGTCCACGACATATATCACACAAAATATGCTGCACCACGTAGCTTACATCAATCACATCACATAGCTGACACATCGAAAACAGCTTGAGGGGTATTTCAACACATTGGTCACACCACGTACATTGCACCACATTGGCTGTACCACATACAAGAGCAACACAAAGCTTAGGAGTACGTAGCTCGCGCCACATATAATGCACCACGTTGATTGTACCACCTGAGTTGCACCACGTAGATGGCAAGACATCGACCTTTGGGGTCCACGCTGGCGAACACATACATACATATACATATACATTGCACTCTCCATGCAACACTTGCACTCAATCGTGTCACTTCCACCCGTGCCCCGGATCCCCTTGAGCGCTCCCGGGTAATTCTCTCGATCTCGTCTTTGTAATCGCCCACCTGTGCCTGGTACGTCCTCAGCTCGGAGTGCATTGCCTGCTGAGCTCCCACAGCCCAGGCGGTGCTCGGGTCAGAGAAAAACCAGAAACGCGAGCGGGGCCACACAACCAAGGGGAAGACGCTGGAATGGGGGTGTGGATGGGGAGGGAGGTTAAGCGATGACAAGGGCGAGGGGGGAGGGGAAAGGGAGGGAAGGCATGCACCGAATCATGCTTAGACTCTCTTCCAGCCCCGATCCAACGCGTCACGGTGCGTAGTTCTTCGTCTCTGCGGGCCGAAACAATATGCACCGTAACAATTCTTGGGTCTGGGGTCGACGACTCCCCAGAAGACTCCACCGTGGTACGGTGCACACAAGTCGTCCGCGGAGGCGAGGCGAGACGCCTCGCAAGTCGTCTGCGGAGGAGACGGTGGAGAGGGGACTGGCGGGTGAGGGAGTGAGGGGAAGAGGGGACGGGGACCCAAAGGGGGCAAACAAGGAGGGGTGTGGGCAAGGTTTGTATCCATGTCCACTGCGTCTTGGAGTTTCGGGTTCCTTCCCCAGAAACCAGAGGCGCAGTGGAGATGGATAACGATCTGGCCCCTGTAGGCTAAACACTAGATTTTCATCAATATCCAATGCGCCTCGGCGCTTTGACGCCCCATCCCAGAACATTCAAGTTGCAGTAGATATGGAGGTAAATCTCGCCCTCAAGTGAAGGCAATATTAGGTGGGGCTACAGTTAGGTCGGGCCTGTCCCCCCACAGAGGGATTTTGGGCGAGAAATCAAAAATACTCGAAAGTGCTCCAAACATGCTTCAACATAGTCAAAAAAATCGCCCCCAGACTGTTTTGACTATTTTTGAATATTCCTCCTGTAGAGGGACAGGCCCGACTTCAGGCTACAGTGCAAACGAGGAGGGGGAACGACCGAGTCGACCTCTGCAAGGTCCGGCCCGCCGGCAGAAACACCTTGTCCGAGGATGGCGGCGCGGACCTGCCCGCCGCCCGTGGCTGCGGGGAGCTCCCCCCGGATGCCGTCGACCCCCTCCTGGCCGGTCCCAGGCCCTGCAACGGCACGCTTTGAAGGGGCCCTGCAGACACACAAAGAGATAGACACAGATGACAGGATTGCCCACCTTTCCCCGCATGTTCTGGGCTTTCGTCTTCCCCTCACTTCCCATATGTTCGAATATTTTCCTGGGGATCGACGATTCATTATGTCCGTGTGTTTGTGTCCCTCCTGAACGTTTGTTTCAATCCTGGCAGGGTCATTCAGCCTCGAATCGGGGGTGGAAAAACCGCGGGGGTGAAAAACCCGCGTTTTTTTTTTCACCCCCCGGGTTTTTCTCCCTCCCGCACTCTTGACCTCTTGCTGCCTTGCTCGCGCGCTGCACGGCACGCGCGTGGGACACCGCAGCCATTTAGCCCAGAAGAGGACCTGGAGTCCGAAACGCGCCGCCAGATACAGGTGGTTAAGGTCGGTAATGCACCAAGCGGTAGCCGCATCGAGTCGGAGCATGAGTCGGTTCGGGCCGCGCACCGGCACGGAGAAGAAGCATAATCGGGCGCGCCAGGGTGCTTGACAGCGTCGGTGAGCATCGTTTAACCGATCCCCATCCCCGCGGGCGTGGCTTGGGTGCCAGGACGATGAGGAGGAAGAGGAGGGGGAGGAGGAGGAGGAGGAGGACTGATCAGTTCCCCCCCCCCCTAGATGGTGACACAGCCTGCTCCCTTTCGGGTTTCGAGGGGCATATCCCCAACTGGGGTGGTGGGATGGTGGGGATCGGGATGGGATGGAGATGGGGATAGGGATCGGTTGAGCGATACTGAGCCAGGCAAGAATCGGACCGCATAGGATCGCTGGGAGATGGCCGAAATCGATGTCGAATCGATGTCGAAATCGGACCGAAATCGATGTCGAATCGATGTCGAAATCGATGTCGAATCGAGCTGGCCGAAATCGATGTCGAATCGGACCGATCGGATCGGAATGGGCCCTGGCCGGCAGGCCTCCACGATATATAGGAACATGTGGTCGCCCCTCTTGATAGAGCGCCGAAGCGAATACATAAGCTGCTGACTGAGAAAGCCAGTGTGATGGACGTGGAACTGACTCTGAAGAGGTGTCTGCTGGGCTCGGGCCTTGAACGAGCGTGCAGCTGTGCTCCCTGGCCGTCCCAGCTCCCTTGTGAGACAAGTCGCGCGCTCTGCCTCTGACCAGCCCTGTCGATTTACCTCCACCACCTTCCTGCCACCTTGGACGCACGGACCACTGCGGAGGTGTGACCACGTGCCCTGCGCGGAAGCCAAGACTCACTGGGCCGAAGGTTCGGCAGGTCAGTCCCACGCGTGCTCCTGTGCTTGCCCAAGGCAATGCTCGGGACACCCCCTGGAGAGCCTGGCCGCATGCGCCGTGCAGGTGTTGGGGTTCCCCGAAGCTGGAGCTCGAGCTCTGGGTCGAAGGCGAACGAAACTCCAGATGCTCGACGACGCCCGCCTGCATCGCATACACTACCTGTCGCCCTCGACGGACGTTGGGCAATCCTCCGGTGAGAGCTGGCAGACGTGTTGGAATAGGACTCTCTATCCACGAACTTCCTAAGGCTCGGGGCACGGCCTGGAGGCGGCGTGCAAACGCCCTGGAGGGAGGTCACCACAGTTCGAGCTTGGTCAAAGGATACCATCCTGGATGCCAAGCGAAGCGAAGCCCGTCTGCATCACACGCACCGTTCTCTCGTAGCGGGCGCCTGTCTCTACAGGTGTGTGCCGATCACAGCCTGGCCATGCAACTAACAGTCCAAACAGCTGGCGACGTCCGTCTCCATCGAACACACAATCACCTCATCGCACTGACCGATCGCCAATGAGGGCTGGTAGACATGGGTCGGAACATGTGTTGATGCACGGCAGAATCACCTTGCACAAGACTGCTCAGAAACACATGCGCGAGCTGCACATCGGCAATCTCTCTGCACGCCGATGCAAACGTCATCAAAGTGATGAAATCAAACTTCGATCTTGATCATAGCTAGACGGTGTGTAGATCGTGCTCCCTCTTAGAAACGAAATATCGGCATCTTTCCAATAACCAAAACGTTTACGAACAAGTACGGACATCCGTCTCTTCCTCCTCCTGCTCTTCGTCCCGCTCCTCCTCCTCCTCAGACACATGCCGCTGACAAAATCAGCGTAGGCCTTCATTTGCTTCACCTTTGCGGCGTAGTTCTCCTGGTATACCTCCAGCTGTTCCATTACCTTCGGTGCAACATACTGCTAGCAACGATCCCTACGTGCCATGAGGTAGCGTAGCGATGTCATTGCCAAGTATAACACTGCGGTCGGGAACTTTTGCTTGAAGAGTCGCTGCGGCGGCCCCGGAGACACGCTGTGCCCTGCAAGCGGATAGCGTGTCGCTCCGTCTCGCGAGACGGGAAGGCGGGAAAAACTCGGGACGTTGAAGCCTGGGGACCCAGACCTGGATAGCGTATTGCGTCGAAGCGTGGTGGGTGTAACGAGCGACGCGATACTCTAAGCCAACGTTCCTGACGGTAATTCCGAATGGTTTGTCTTGACGTCGCCAGCGTCGTCGCAACGGAGGTCGTTGCGGCCACCATGGTGGCGTTGGTGACCAACGTCGTCTTCATCTTCGTCCGCCTCATGCTGCTGATGTATTATTCTCTTCCTCTGCTGCATCTGCGCTTGCTCCTCTCCTCCCCTTCAGCCAAAGCTCCACCTCTGCTCTTCTTGACGGCTCGTGGTCCGCATCCCGCTCGTCGCCGTCCTGGCCCCTTCCATCCCCGTCAACCAACGTCCCACTTGGCTCCCTGTGCGCTTCGGCTCATACTAGAAAAGCCATGGACGTTTTTCGCTTCGGGTGCAGAGGAGACGCGCAAACCGGGCTCAACCATCTCCTCATTTGTTTGGGGTCCTGTGCAACGCACGTGGAGGTCCAGGCCAGGCTATGGCTTCTGGCCGAGGCCTCCTCGCTCAGCCGTCTGCCGTCCGTCCAGCGTGGACAACATGCATCAAAGAATCCCAGAGACGCTCGGGCCCTCTTGGCGTCTCGCGGGACCTCATCCCAGACGTGCGATGTCCTCACTTTTCCGCATACGCGGCCCCCGGAAGCACCGACCCCTTCCCTAGGACCGACCGGCTTTTCATCCCAAGCCGTTTGTGAGCGACCTGGGGCCCGTTCAGAAGAAGTCGAAGATTACGAACAACCTCCGACGACGACAAAGCATTTACGACGCGAGGATATCTAAACCATCGGAGCCCATAGGAGGGGCACCGGAGATGCCCCGAGGCAGCGCCTGGACCTCGGCGCGGCAGCATCTGGCCAGCTGCCGCTCAGGCTGCCTGCGCCTCCCGCCAAGTGAGGGGCAACGATAGTAGGCGGCGAGCCAGGGGGGAAGTTAGAAGGGGCGTGCCTTCTCAGAAGGCTCGGAAGTCCCCCAGCCTTCTGAGAAGTTTTCTAAGCCTTCCCCGAAGACAGAAAAAACTTCTCAGAAGGCCAGAGGCCTTCTGAGAAGTCCCGCCTTCTTCTGAGAAGGCCTTCTCCTTCTCATTCCCCCCCTCGCTCGCCGCCGAGATAGGGGGGGAACTGACATCAAGGGGGGAAAATCGACCTGGAATCGGCGATACATCGCCGATAGATCGGCAACAGGGCCCCCGACAGCACGTCCCCACGCTCGGGGGCGGGGTGGATGGATCGGCCCCCTCTCGGCGAGGAGTGGGCGATTGGGGTTCCGATGCATCCCCCCCCTCTCTGCGTATTACCCCCCCCGTCGTTGCCCGTGGGTGAGACAAACCGTGACGACGGGGATCTGGGTCCTGGGTCTGAGTGGGCCAGGATCGCTCTAGAATCTCGAGTCGGACTGCGGACGGCTCGCCCCGGACGCCGACGGAGAGGGGGGGGAAGGGAGGGAGCAACGGAGCAGGGAAGGGCGTCAGCTGCCCTCGGCAGGGGGGGGGCGCGAGAGCGCCACGGCGCGAAATTGCACAGCATGCTTGCAGCCTACTCTGGGACCTCCAGGAGCTCTCACAGGGGGGTCCACACGGGGCCCTTTGTGGGGTCTCTAGTGGCCCCACTGGAAGCCCCACGAGGGCCCCCAGGGACCCCGAACCGCGGTGTGCAATAGCGCGCTGTACTTGGGGCATGCTCGGGGTCACAACCAGGGCCCTCCGGGGGCCCTCATTGAGTCCTCTTGGGGCACCTCGGGTGGCCAGGTGGTCTTCGAGAGGGGACCGAGGAAGCTCCGAGAGCACGGTGCGCAACCGTTCACCAATGTGGGAGCCCTCTCGAGGCCATCTGCAGCGCTTCTGGGGAATCTCTTGGGTACTTTGGGCGTTGCACGGCCGCTCCCCAGAGCTGCTTTGGAGCCGCACGGGAATCCCCAGAGTGCGCTTGATGGACTATTTACATGGTGCGACTTGTACGTTGATGGTTGCGAGCACCCCCCGCGCCCCCAGCCTGAGATTGGCGGGCTGCGCCACGATGTGTCGACCTGTCGACTGGCCGAAATCCTGCACCCCGCTGGCGATGCCAACAGGCATTGAATCGAGGGCATTTTTGGTTCGACCCTGGAAACGCAAGAACCAGCGGCGCCCGAGCGCGCGGGTGCCCCCCAGCGGCGCCGAGGGCCCGCGGGGCCGGCAGGCCCCGCCGCCCTCCAGCGCCAAAGCGCCCTTCGCGGCCCGAGACTGCTCATAGGAGGGCTGGGGCGCGAGGGCAGGGGGGGGGGGGGGGGACGCTTGCGCTGGCGCCCCCCTCGCGCGGGTGGTGAGAGGGATTCTGCCCACGAGCCGCGCCCTCAGTCGGCCCCTGGGAAGCGGCAGGGCCGCTGTCCCACCGCTGTCGAAGAAGGGCCCCTTGACACTGGAAACGGCAGAAAAAAAACACGGCGACCGGAGACGGCCAGAAAACGGCTCCAGGAGTGGAGCCGGAGCCGGAGCCGGAGCCGGAAAAACTGCGGCGACGGCACTCTGGCAACAACAGCGGCACGACAAAAACAGCACCGGCAACAACAGAACGGCAGAACGGGGCCGGCAACCAAAAACGGCCCCCCAGAGATCCGTCGTCGTGATTTTTTCAATACGGGGTCCCCAGAAGTCTCGACCCATTCCCCAGGACCGGTTTTTCATGCCGAGCCGTTTTGTGACGCTCCCGGGGCCCGGCGAGGGCCGCTAGAGAGGCCGAAAGTCGAGAAAGAAACCCTGTCTTGATTTTGTGCAATGCGTCGGAGGTCTGGGCCTGTCGCTTCTCCGGGGCCCGCGCAGAGGCCGTGCCCCAGGAGCCTATTTTTGTTTAGGCTCTGGCAAGTTTACTTGCATGGACGGGGGGGGGGGGCTGAGCCTGCAGCAAGCCGCAAACGACTCGCACGTTCGGGGGGGGCGCGGAGAGCACGCAAGCCGAGAGGCACTTGCGCGCTAGCATTCGCTTGAAGAGGGGCGAGGGGGGGGGGGGGGGGGGGGGGGGCGAACGCCATGCAAGTAAACTCGCCTGAATCCAAAAAAAACAGGCCCGGGGCCCGCGCAGGCCGTTGCCCGGGGAGGCCCCGAGGCGCTCCTGTGGCCGGGAGGCGGCGCTCGGCGCCCGCGCGGCGAGCATGACGGCACCGCGGCCGTCTGCCGGCCGTGGGCGGCCTGCGCCTCGGGGCAGGCCCCACCGCCCTCGAGGGAGCGCGGCGGCGCGAGGCCCGCAGGGGGGGCGGCAGACAGACAGACAGACAGACAGACAGAAGCCGCACGCCCACTGGCGCGTCGGCAGGCGCTACATGATACATGAATTCAAACCTTCGGAGAGGGGGGAGAACGCACGAAGGAAGGGAGGGACGCGCGACGAGCGGGGACGGGAGGCGAGGCGGAGCGAGAGAGGGAGGGACGAGCGACAAGGGGGGGACGACCGAGGAACACGCGAGGGGGAGAGAAATGCGCGCGCGCGCTGCAGCCCGCCCGTTAGGACGCGCATGCCGCGTTCACGTGCACATCTGGGGGGCGGCGGGGGGAGGTGTTACTCCAGACCCCCTATGGATCGCCCCCCCCCCCCCCCCCCCCCGAACAAAAAACTGGGCTCCCCCCCCAACGTGCGACCTGAACTGCCTCGGGCCCCCCCTCCTCGACGGGGCGCCTGGATTCCTCAACCTGGGCCCCCTGAGCTCCAACCGAAAGAACACGCCCTCATGAACCGGACCCCCCCCCAAATTACAAACAAGGCGCCTGAACAAACCGGACCCGGGGGAGCACGAATCAGGGATTTGGAGTAACATTGACCATCCCTGCTGAACGCGTGTTGCTCCGCAGGCATCAGGCGTCAGGCATGAGCTCTTCTCGAGCACGCTTGCCCTGCATAGGGCCCTGCACTTCCGCCACTTAAGGTTCTGTCGGAATGGGTGGCAGCACTCCTGAAACAGCAGGTTGAACGGTCCCAAGGAATGTACCGCCTTACAGCGTACGAGAACAGCAAGAGTGTGCCAGAGTAGTCCCGTCCGTGAACTGTAGCGTGTGGCGAAAGCCTAGGAAGTGGGGGAGATAGAGGATGGAAGGGTGGCGGAAGCGGTGGGGTAACGGCGGTGAGCACGATCAACATCGGGCAATAGGCAGCGCGAAGACCAGAGGAGGAGAGGCAGCGACGGCGACTACAGACAGGGAGGGAGACAAGGGTGCATCACCCTTGGACGGGATACCTCGGTGGTAAGCCAGTCCAGGGAGGGTGCAGCGAGAAACCTCGAAGCGGTGCGTGCAACGAGCCGGGAGGCAGCAGGGTGACGACGAGCAGGAAGGGCAGGAGGAGAAAGACGGGCAACGGAGGGACCTCGGGCCCGGGCTGCTTCTCCAAGATCTGCGTGAGCTCCCTGTGCAGCCTCTCTTTCTCCTGCGCGGCACGGAAGTTGGAAGGGAGGGGGCGGACAGAGTGGAGAGGGGACAGCAGGGTACTTTTGTCTCGCACTTTCCCTCCCCCTCCCTCTCCTCATTCTCTTCCATCTCCTCCTCCTCCTCCTCCTCCCCCTCCTCATCCTCCTTCTGCTCTCTCCGACCTCCCTACATCCTTCCAACTTCCTCCCACCCACCTTGCATCGCACCGTCTCCCCATCATACCTGTCCCATTGCAATAGTCCTCCTCTTCCTGCTCTTCTCCCTCCTCTTCCTCACCATGACTTGTCCAGGACATCGGCCCCCAGAGGTCTGGACCCATTCCCCGGGACCGGCTCTTCGTCCTTGGTCGTTGTTTCGCGAGGGCCGGTACGGGCCCCATGGAGGCCGAAAATAATGAAAAACCTCGTCGGGGGGCGCGGCGCGGCGCTGCGGTGGGCGTGGCCGCGCTCTGCCTGTCCCCCTGGAGGAGGAGGAGGAGGAGGAGGAGGAGGAGGAGGAGGAGGAGGAGGAGGACGAGAGCCCCTGGTCGTGATTTTTTCATGACCCGAGGGGGTCTGAGGATGCAGCAGCTTCGCTCGGAGCGGACCGCTGCCGGGGTCCTGCTGCGCCTCGGCCGGTCTGCCGGGTCGGGCGAGAGGGGGGGATAATGAGCACAGGGGGGGCTTGAGAAGAAGCTCACGCAGCTGATTTCCCCGGCGCCTCCCGGCGCCGGAGGCGGCTAAGTATCGATCGAGGAATGGGCCCCTCGGTGAGGCCGAAACCAGCTGCATGCAGCAAATTTCGTGACCCCCACCCCCTGTCCCCCCCCCCTTCGTCCGGCCCGAGTCTGCGTGAGCTCCTGCAGGAGCTGGCGTGCCCGCGCGCAGCCGGCCGGCCGGGGTGCTGTTTTTGCGCCTGGAGCGGTGCAGAGGACATGCGAGCAGCATCCCTCGGAGGTCATTTGAGGGGCCCTGCGACACACAGAAACAAATAGACACAAAAACCAGGATCCCCCTATATTTTCCCATATATGTTGGGTTTTTGTCTTCCCCCCCCACTTCCCATATGTTTCCATTTTTGTCGGGGGATCGACGATTCATTGTGTCTGTGTGTTTTTCCCTCCTGATAACTGGCCTGCGTGGGGGGGCTGGATACCACCCCAGACATGATAGCGCCGTAACAAAAATGAGGACGGCAAGTTTTTCACTATTTTCGGCCCCCCTCGCCAGGCCTCGGGACCGTCAAAAAACGACTCATGAAAACCAGTCCTGGGGAAAGGGTCGGGGCTTCCAGGGACGCCGTCCTGAAAAAATCAGGACGTCGCATGTCTGGGACGTATCTTCCTCATCCTGGGGCTGCTCGTAATCGACGTCCTTGGTGGCAACCAGTGCAGTAGACCTCCGTGATGTTTTGCATCCTCATCACCTGTGTCTGGAACTTGCCGAACTGGCGCTCAACTTGGAGGAAGCCGGGGTGTCTGCAATGGTTGGGGCCCCAGAAGGTCGGTCAGGAGGGAGGATGAAGCCGAATCTGTTCAAAATTTGTCCCCGGACCCCTCCCGGCGTCCATCTGGCGCAATCTTTCATCCTGGATCCGTTTTTGACAATCCCAGGGCCCGAAAAAAAGCCCATGGAGTCCGAAAAATACAACAAAACACCATCCCGAACCCAGGACCTCACCTCCAACCTCGCCCCCCCTGTCTGCTGGCCGGAACCGGTGCTGGGCCACCTCAAACACCGAGCCGGCTCCAACGCTCAACCTGGCGCGGATGTGTGCTGCGAGCTGTCGTAGCACGCGCGCCTTGCACTTCTTGCCGAGCTGCTGTGTGCGGGGCCACTGCTGGCTCATGAGCTCCTCAGGGCCTAATTAGCAGTGCTTCTGCCCCGCGGGGCGGAAGGCCGGTCAGAACATGTCATTCATCACGGGCGTGCCGAAAACGTGCAACCACGTGGGGAGCCCGTGAAACGGACGACCTTGCGGTAGTACCGAGATCCCGAGACTCAGGCGGTTGGGGCCAGGGCAGACGGGACGGGACGGAGCATGGCAGAACTTGTAGTGGATGCCCTCGACAAGGACTGCGAAAAGCTCGAAGAGGCCGACCTTGAAATAGTAATCAGCTACTGCTAATGACCCGCAGTACATAGGACCCAGGAAAGGGAAAGGCCGAACATGAGCGGGCGAGAACCAGCTGGACTGGACCGAAGACCCCAGAGGCCACGGCCGCATGCGTCCGCGCCACCCAGTGCAGCGCGTCGTGGCCCCATAGGGAGCTCCACCAAAAGCCCCAGCCGCGACGGTCGCACGCGTCCGCGCCAACCAGTATAAAGTCCCGCAGCCCCATGAGGAGCTCCACCGAAGGCCCCATAGGCGACGTTCGCACGTGTCCGCGCCACCCAGTACAGCGCTCCACCAAAGGCCGCAGGGGCGACGTTCGCATTCGCCCGTGCCACCCAATGAAGCGCTTCGTGACCCCATAGGGAGCTCCATCGAGGGCCGCACAGGAGACGTTCGCATGCATCTTCTCCACCCAATACAGCACTTCGTAGCCCCATCGGGAGCTCCACCGGAGGCTCCACTGGCCTTGGCCGCATGCGTCACCCCCGCCCACTACAGCGTTTCGTGCTCCCCCAGGGAAACTCCACCGAAAGCACCAGTGACCGCGACCGCATGCGTCCCCCCACCCCGCCCAGTACAGCGTCTCCTGGCCCCATATGGAGGTCCAGCGAATGCTCCAGTGGCCGCGGCCGCATGGTTCCCCCACCCAGCAATACAGCGCCTCATGGCCCCATAGGGAACTCCATCGAGCGCCCGATTGGCCGCCGCCGCGCCCACCCAATACAACGCTGCGCGGCCCCATAGGGAGCTCCGCAGGGGACCCCAGTGGCCGCGGCCGCGGTACCCACGACGCGGTACTCACAACTGTGAATGGTTCGGACCTTCCCCAACACAATTGAGGCCCCCACTTCGGTGTCTTTGTTGCAATCATACTGTGGTGTTGGGTCCTCGTTTTGAACAGACAGCGCCCCGTGTCCTCCTCACTCACTCCTCCTCCCATCCCTGCCTCAGCCGTGCGCGCGTCTATTTCAGCACATCCCTCACACGCCCATTGGCCTGATAGGAAGCTTGACCGAAGGTCAGAGTGCCAGCGCCCGCATGGCGTCTTCCCGCCCGTGCCGCCGCACCCCTCACATTTTTCACTGCCTCTAGGGGGCTCCACCGAACGTCCCAAAGGCAACTCCTGCAGGGCGCCACCCCGCCCATGTCGCCACACCCCTGACACGTGCCGTGACGCGCCGTGACCCCAAAGGGAGCTCCACCGAAGGCCCTTGTGACGGCGCCCGCACGGCGGCAACCCATCCCTTCCGGTACGCTTTTTTGGTCTGCGGGTCGAGAGCGAGCCTCTTCCGGTTAAAAGCTAGGCGGGCTACGCAAAGCTCTAATTGGGGAGACAGAGCACAGGCGGGCATCCGTTTCCGGTACGCGCCTCACGCGCTTCGTGGCCCCACAGGGAGCCCCACCGCTCCAGGGCCAGCGCCCGCGTGGCGCCACCCCGCCCATGACGACACACCCCTCGCACGATCCGTGGCCCCACGGGGAGCCCCAGCGAAGGCCTCAGAAGCAGAGCCCGACGGGCGTCTCCACGCCCAGTTCGGCATCCCCCTTGACTGCGTCGTGCCGCGACCCCACAGGGAGCTCCACCGGAGGCCCGATAGTGGCAGCGCCCGGATGGCGCCGTCTCCCGCCAACTTCGGCACACGCCTCACGCGCGTCGCAACCCACAGCAAGCTCCACCGAAGGCCCCTGTGGCAGCGCCCGCACGGCGTCACCCCGCCCATGTCGGCACACCCTCTGGCCCTGCAGGGAGGCCCACCGACGGCCCCCAGCGGCAGCGGCCGCATGGCGTCACCCCGCCCATTTCAACACACCCCTCACACGCTTCGTCACCCCGCCTTCGTTCCACCTGCCTTGCGGTACCAACACGTGCATCTGGTTGGGTCCTCTGTCAAGGTGCGACATTTTTTGAACCCTAAACTGTGCATCGCATCTCTCCGCTCCGCCTCCTGTCCAGTCGTCAACGATGCTCGCTCGATGCTTCACCAGAGGCGATCTTGCTCGAAGAGCCCCTGGGGGGCGAAACGCGTATAGCCGCTTTCGATTCCCGCCTGAGACTCGATCCAGAACACGTGCGCCACCTTGGCCGCCTGTGCAGGCCTGGAAATGAGCACCAACACCAACACAGGGGGGTGCATCCACCGGGGGGAGATGATCCTAGATTCCAGTGCTGGTGGGAATGTTTCGCCCACCTGGGGAGCCCACATGTATCGGCGGCGCGCCCAGGGATCGAAGTGAGAGGGGGCGGGCCTTCTCAGAAGGCTCGGAAGCCTTCCTGCCTTCTGAGGAGTTCTCTAAGCCTTTCCCCAAGACGCAGGCAACCTCTCAAAAGACCGGGGGGCTTCCCAGAGGCCCGGCCGCCTTCTGAGGAAGCCTCTTCCTGCTCACTTCCCCCCTCGCCCTCCGCCGAACATAGTTGACCACCATCGCCGAGGTCGGGGGGCCACCTTCCCTCGGTTGAGGCACACCGCCGGTGTTGGTGTGAAGTGCCCACCCCTGGGCCTCCGACGAGCGAGTGCTCCACCTCTTGGCCGCCCTGGCCCCCCGCCCGCGGATCATGTCTGCATGGGGCGGAGGAGGCTCTGCACGATCCTGCAGAAGCCCCCCCCTCCTCGGACAGCTTCCAGACCCTTTTTGAGCAGGAGGGAGAGGAGCAGGACGAGGAGGAGGAGGAGGAGGAGGAATACTAATAATAATAATGCGAATTAGAAGAAGAATAATACTAAGAAAAAGAAGGAGAAGAGCAGGAGGAGGAGGAGGAGAACAATCATGAGAAGGAGAAGAAGAAGAAGACGACGAAGAAGAAGGAGGGAGCGGGGGGCGCTCTCCGAGCCCCCGCCGCGGCGGCGGGGTCCCGCGCAGGGCAAGCGGCAGCGCGGGGCGCAGAGGCGGCCGCGGCCGCGGCGGCCCTGCGGAAGCGGGGCGGGGGAGGCCCTGCAGTATCCTGCAGAGGCCTCCCCCTGCGAGCCAGAGCTTTTCGTGTCTGGAGCCCTGGGGGGGAATGGACCACCTCGTGCAGGCGAGATTGCATGGATTGAGCGGCTCTGTGTTGCGCAGTATGAATGCCTACCCGCGGCTGCGCTGGGGGACACCTCTGGCTTAAAGAGGAGGCGGCACGTGGATGAGGGGGACTGATAGTGGCCACCCGCCAAGCGGCCCTAATCCGACCCGAAGTCGATGCTGGGCCTGCCCGTTCCCGGGGGGGGGGGGTATGAAACATCGAGAAAACATCGTGGAGCCCTGCGGGGAAGGGCTGGGGAGGACGGGCATTAGCATGATGACGAGGCGAGTTCAGGAGGGAAGCGAGAAGGGGCGGGCCTTCTCAGAAGGCTCGGGAGGCCTCCGGCCTTCCGTGGAATTGTCTGAGCCTCCTCCGAAGACGCAGAACTCTCCTCAGAAGGCCGAAGGGCTTCTGAGAAGTCCCGCCGCCTTCTGAGAAGGCCTGCTCCTTCTCACTTCCCCTGGGCGAGCTGCCGAATGATCGGTGGCAACTCACGGGAGCCTCCACTACCATCTTGTTGGCCGACGGCAGTCGACGCTAATCGACACTGGTCGACGATGATCGATGCTAAATCGACGCTAGCCGACGCCAGCGTCGGCATTATTCTCATTGACTACCAAACGCTAATCGACGCTTGCCGGCGCTAAAGACGGAATTAAGACCGTATACAAGGCTTCTCATGCTTGGTAGCGCTTTTGGCGGTCCCGAGGCCCGGGGAGGACCCCGAGAGCCCCAAAACGGTGAAGACTTCCAGGACCCGTTTCCCTCGGGGCTCGTCCGGAGGCGGGATGATGTCCAGCTGGGCGCAGGCCAAGCCTGGAGGAGGGCTGGTCGGAGGTCGGGCATGTCATCCTACAGGCGGGTTTTGGGCGACCATTTCCAAACAGCCAACAAATGTTCAAAAATAGTACAAACATCGTCCCCATATTATTTTTTGCATATTTTGAAGACTCCTCCTGTGGAGGGACACGCCCGACTTTAAGGCTGGTCGGAGGCGGCTTGCGTCCTGGATCTCCACGTCCTTCGCGACCACCTCCTCCGTCTTGCCGATGAGCCGCTTCTGCAGCGTGCGCACCTGCCGCACCGGGGGCTCCACGGCGAGAGGGTGGGCGGGCGGCCCCGAAACCCGACGTCGAGGCCACAAACACACACACACACACACGCAATCTCACACAAACACACATACAACAGCACACAACACATAACCAAACACAACTACTCACACACGACACACACACTCACACACATTCGCTCACACACTCACTCACTCACGCACACACGCATGCACGCATGCACGCACACACACACACACACTCACACACTCACTCACGCGCGCACGCACGCACGCACGGGAACACGCACGCACGCAAGCACAGTCTCATAATACGTACACACAGCACGCACACAAACACACACACAACACACACAACAAACACAACCACACACAACATGCGTACAAACCCGTTCATCCAGTCACTCACGCAAGCACATGCGCACGCACGCACATACAATCAGACAAACGCTCGCTCACACACTCACACACGCACGCACGCACGCATGCACGCGCATTCACACAACATACAACACACACACAACAACCACATACAACCACTCACGCACAAGACACACACACACTGACTCACAAGATCACTCACTCACGCTCGCATGCAGGCGCGCACACACACAATTCACACACACACACACACTCACTCACTCGCACACTCACTCGCACATTCACTCACGCACGAACGCACGCACGCACACAAGCACGCACGCACGCACAGTTACATAATACGCACACAAAAAACATACAAAACAACACAATCACACACAACATACATACACACACTGACTCACACACTCACTCACGCACGCACGAACGCAAGCACGCACACACGCACGCACTCACACAACACGCACACACGCTCGCACACTCACTCACTCACTCACGCACGCACGCACGCTCGAACATACGCAGGCACACACACAAAGAAGCAAAGACACACAGACACACAGACACAGAGACACAGAGACATAATAGAGACACAGGGACACAGACACACAAACAAGCACAAACACACACACACACACACAACACACGCACACACCCACACACACACACACACACACGCGCGCACATGCACACGCACACGTACGCACACACGCAAACGCACACGCATACACACGCACACACACACACACACACTTGTTGGCGTCGCAGCCCCACGCGCGGCGACAGGTTGTAGAAAAGTCACAAACACACTTTCACACACACACACACACGTAAGACACACGCGTACATACACGCACATGGACATACGCAACACATAACGCACAGCACGCAGCACACAACATACACATACACACAACACACGAAAAAGAACGCCGCGAGGACTGCAGAAAGACAACTGCAAAGACATGCGCGTAGGCTTCCAGGGGCCCGCGCGGAGTTCTTGGACCCGCGCTGGCCAGGCGCGGCAGGACACGCACTGTCCAGCCTCAGCGACCGCACGCAGTGCCCCCACGGGCAAGCAAGTCCGGAGCAGCAAGCGCCTGCACCCGCATGTCTACTGGCCATCGCTCGGACGTCCGTTTCCTGTGTCTTTTTTCAGTCTCGTGCGTGTTTTTTCGCCAAATGATCGAGGATGCTCCTCGATGGTCCTCGCCGAAAAAAATGCACACGTCCGAGCGATGCCAAGCCACAGGCACGCAAGGCCGAATCAGCAAGCGCATGCCGCTGCACGTTCAGAGCGCCCGTGGAAGGGGGGGGTGCACGTGAGCGCGATTTTTCGCCAAATGATCGAGGATGCTCCTCGATGGTCCTCGCCGAAGGAAACATGCACACGTCCGAGAGATGCCAAGTTCAGAGAGCCCGTGGAAGGGGGGGCAGCGCCACCAAAGCGTGGTGCCACACAACAGCCGGCGGGCACCCGGGGCGCCGCCGCAGCGAGCGGCCAGCCAGGGCAGGGCCCGTGCGCATCAGGATGGTGCCGACAGCCCGGGCCATGCCCGCTCCCCCCCGCCGCGGCATCGTGTCACGGTGTTCGGGCTTCATTGACGGGCGAAAAACGGTGTAAGATAAACTTTTTCGCCGTCGGGCAAGTTTATACCCCTACGGTGGCACCGTAGGGGTATAAACTTTCCAGCCGCCCAGGGGCAGGTGTCCCCGACGGCGAAAAAGTTTATTTTATACCGTTCTTCGCTCGCTGACTTCAGGCTCTCTCGTAGGGGAACAAAAAGTGATATAAACATAAAAAAAAACTCGGAGGTCCGCGCGGATTTCTCAGATGTGCGCTGGACCCCCCTTCCCTGGCGCGCGGAGCGCGCCAGGGGCGGCGCCGGAGGAGCCGCCGGGGGGCCCCAGCGCCGATTCGAGAAATCCGCGCGGACCTCCGAGTCTTTATGTTTATGCCACTTTTCGTTCCCCTATCCCTCCCTCTTCCCAGACCCCCGACGTCATGAATTTTTCATGACGTCGACCCCAGCGGTCTGGACCCATTCTCCGGGACCGGTTTTTCGTCCTGAGTTGTTTTTTGACGGTCCCGAGGGCCGGCAAGGGCCCCCAGAGGCTGAAAATGATGAAAAACCTCCCGTCGTGATTTTTTCATAACTCGAGGGGGTCTGGGTTGGGCCCGAAGTTGACCATGCGTTCTGTATCCAGTGCGGTCGCTGCGTCTCGCCGCGGTTTGTGGGTGTGCGCGTCAGCGCGGAGCTGGCGAAGCCTGCCGGGCCTCCGACCCCAGCGACTCTCCCCTGCGCCTCCTGCATGCGAGGCGAGGATTTACCTATCTGCACCGCCTGGGGATCCGATGTCCTGGGGCCCCATGGGCGGCGGGATGTTGATACGTTGGGGCGCCTTGGGTGCCTGGGTGTCCGGGTGCTCGGGGGTGCCCGGGAGCCCGGGAGCCTGCAGGGTGCCCCGGGGTGCCAGGAGGTGCCCGGGGGAGCCCGGAGGTGCCGGGGGGGCCTGGGTGCTCTATCGTCTTATAGCCCTATAGCATATAGCCCTAATAGCCCTATAGCCCTATAGCCCGATAGCCCTACAGCCATATAGCCGTATAGCCTTTTAGCTTCATAGCCCTATAGCCCTTTAACCCTATAGCCATATAGGCCTATAGCCCTATATCCCTATAGCCCTATAGCCCCATAGCCTTATGGTCCTATAGCCCTATAGCTCTACAGCTCCATAGCCCTATAGTCCTAAAAAGATTATGTATGTTTTTTTTAACCCTGGTATCATTTAGCTATCATTGAACCTTCCTCCTGAAGAGGGACATGCCCGACTTAGCATGATACCCTCCGCGGGCTGAGCTGCAGACCATTCGAGGGTACCCTCCCCCAGGATGCGCAAGAACATCCAACAAACACAAAGGAACATTAGGGTGCCTTCCCCGAACCGACCTCGATCTCACACCTCGGTCCGGCCGTGCTCCGCGGGTCTCTCCCTGGGGGCGTCCTCGCCGGGGTTCTGAAGCGACCCTGGCCGTGGCGGCACCAGGGGGCCCACGGGGACTCGAGCGGAAGAAGGGAGACAAGATGGAGGGGCACGCCGCCATCCCCAGCGCTCTCCTCTGAGCTCTCCCTCTCCTCGCCCTCGGATCGGAGGAAACGGAGGGGGGGTAGTGAAGGGGAGGTCAGCGAATTGAGCTCACGGCGGCTCAAGGATAGCCATTCCTCCGCCGCCCTCCGCCGCGGGAGGCGCCGACGTGTCGAGGCAAGCTCCACGCAGCAGTTCAAGCTCCACGCAGCAGTTCAGCGTACCCCGCCAGCATGCCCATCCCCTTCCCCTGGTCGCCCGACCCGCGCACCGCTGCCCCTTTGGGCTCGGCTGGGCGCAGGAGTGACCTCCTCCTCCTCCTCCTTGTCCTCCCTCCTCCTCCTCCTCCTCCTACTCCTCCGGCCGTCCTCCTCCTACCTCCTCCCCATCCCTCCTCCTCCTGCCTCCTCCTCCTCCTCCTCCTCCTCCTCCTCCTCCACCCTCCTCCTCCTCCTCCTCCTCCTCCTCCACCTCCTCCTCCTCCTTCCTCCTCCTCCGCTCCATGCCTCCTCCCTCCCCTCCCTCCCTCCCTCCCTCCCTCCCTCCCTCCCTCCCTCCCTCCATCCCCCTCCTCCCTCCCTCCCTCCATCCACCCTCCCTCCCTCCCTCCCCCCCTCCTCTCCTCCTTCCATCCTCCTCCCTCCTCCTCCCTCCTCCTCCCTCCTCCTCCTCTCATCCTCCTCCTCCCTCCTCTCCTCCTCCCTCCTCCTCCTCCTCCTCCCCACCTCCTCCTCCTCCTCCTCCACCTCCTCCTCTCCTCCTCCTCCTCCTCCTCCTCCTCCTCCTCCTCCTCCGCGCCAGAGGTCCCTCCGGCGAAGGGTCTCTGTGACGCGCAGCCTTGCGGCTGCCAGGACAAGGGGCACCCCAACAATCCGATGATTGAACTGAAGCAGTGTTCAGCATGCTATGAGGAATTGTCAAAACGTGCTTGAAACATGTTTTTCGCTACATCTTTAAGACATATCTAAAAGTCTAGACACATCGAAATTAATTTTTGGCAGCGTGCGCCCTCCCAACTGGTCGTCGCCCACAAGCGTCGTCGGTGGGGCGCCTTCTGGATGAGCTCGTACATGGCGGGGTCCGACCCCTCGAGCTTCCGCCAGCGGTGCACGTTCATCGGGTTCTCCAGCTCCTGCCCGGCCCGGCGCCCGCCCCCTCCTCCAGGGAGCCCACAAAAGGACGTACGCGCCCAGCTATGTACATGAATGCGGCCCCTCGATCCGCAAGACCGGCCGCGCGATACGAACATTCGCGCACCGCGTACTCTCGAAACTGGCATGGATTCATGCACGTGTGCGTCCTTCTTTCGCCCCTGATCCTCCCCAGCCCCATTTATCCCTGCCTGCGCCGCCCGCGTGGCCGTCACGCAGCCCGCGCCAGGGAGAGGATCAGACGAGGGAGAGTTCGGTGGCCACTCACGGAAGCCTTCCATGATCACCATCTGGCTGACCCACGCTAGATCGACGCGAGTCGACGGTGATCGATGCTAAGTCGACGCTAGATCGACGGTGATTGACGCCAGCCGGCGCTGATCGACGCTAGATCGGCGCTATATCTCATTGACGCTGCTCGACGCCAATCGACGCTGACGACGGAATTCAGACTGTATATCAGGCTCCAAAGACCTGCTACCGAAAGAGAAGATCCCATCCCCAGAATCCCGACATCATGCATTTTCCATCACGTCGAACCCAAGAAATCTCGACCCCTTCCCTGGGACCGGCTCTCCATCCTGAGTTGTTTTTTGACGGTCCCGAGGGCCCGTCAGGGCTCCCAGAAGCCGAAAATAGCAGCAACAACAACAATAACAAAAACTCCGGGGGGGGGCTATTTTCGGCCTCTGGGAGCCCTTACTGGGAGGGACGGGAAGTTACCTCACGCCGTGATTTTGTAATAATTCGAGGGGGTCTGGCTGCTCCCCAATCTCTCGGCCTCCACGGACCCGCAGAAGAGGCGTATGAAGAACAAACGTCTCACGAAGCTACTTCACATGATGTTGCCTGGCGGGGCGGCTATGTCGAGAAGGAGCTGTTGCGAGCCAGCGCCGGCCATATAATTTTTTTCAAACCGGATTTGCCATGCAATTTCCATGCCGGTTTCATACTGGTGCTGTGTGCGCCCGACAGCTCCCCTGCCCCGATTCCGCCCCCCCCCCCGCGGGCCTTCAAAGGCCCCTCGTCGCCCGCGCCGGCCTCGCCACGGAACCCTGGCCAGAACGGGCCCCGGGGGACGTCGGCGGAGCCGCGGCGCGGGCATCTGGTCGCCCCCCGCACCCCAAGACAGGTGGGCCTGGCCTGACGTCCGGAAAATAGAAAAGAACCAACCATATGAGAAAATTGCCAGCAAGGTCTCAAACAAAATCGTCCCCATCGTACTTGAAATGCTCCTCCCGTGCAGGGACGCGCGCGACTTGAGCCTGACGCACGGGGCCACGGCGACCTCTCTGCGAGCGCTCACGCGTCGGTGGGAAGGAGACAGAACGCAGACGCGTGGAGCACGGAGGCGTCTGAGAAGTGAGATCGGGCTTCGCACTCCGCCCCTGACAAAAACTGCAAGGAAGGACGGCTGCACTCGACGATGAGAAGAGGAGGGAGGTGGGAGGAGGGAGGAGGGAGGAGAGTGGAGGAAGGAGGGAGGAGGGAGGAGGGGAGGAGGAGGAGGAGGAGGAGGAGGAGGAGGAGGAGGGAGGAGTGGAGTGGAGTAGAGTGGACTCCGCTGCGCAGCAGGTTCGGGTCTTAGGAAGGCCTGGGCAAACGAGCATTCGAACGCCGAGCTTGCTCAGCTCGGCTCAGAACTTTGGGATGTAACCCCCGAGCAATTCTGTCAAGGTACTCTTGCCCCGTGGCGGACTTCCTCTTACTACATGGGCCTTTAAGAGATCGCAGAGCCTTATCCGCGATGCCCCCACACTCAGTGCAAAACCAAACCTGAAGGGTCGGGTGAACATTCAGGGTATGCGTAGTGTGGGCCCAACCCCCCGCGATATGGACTCGCGGCCCCTTTAACGGCGAAAACAGGACCCCATCGACATTGTACAGCCTAGGACATTCAGATTCGACGAATTCCTGGGTGGTGGCGAGGGTCGCAGAACCAAAACAAGAGAGGCAACGTCGGCCGCAGTCGGCCAGACGGTGCCTGGACATGAGGGCAGCAACAGTGGCAGCAGCGGGAGGCGGAGGAGGAGGAGGGGCGGGAGGAGGCGGGACCTCAGAGGGGCTCCCATGGCCTCGGGCGGCGTCCCTTTCCATTCTCTCGGTCTCCTGGCTGGCCGCAATGCTGTCAAGCGTGGCTCGGAGGAGCCTCATGCGGACGAGGTACGCCCTCCGCTCGGCCAGCAGGATGGGTTGGCGGACCTCGGCGGGCAGCCTGGCTCTGGCCGCTGCACAGCCCGCGAACTCGTCGGCGAGCAGGTTGCCTATGACGAGGTACCTGTTCACCTTCTGGGCGGCAACGTCCTGGGCCGAGCTGTGGGACGGCGTCCAGAGCACCGTCACCTCAGCGTGGCGGCGTGAGCTCATCAGGTCCCCGATGAGCTTCCATAGGTCGGCGTCCTCACCTGCTGGGTTCGTGTAGGCTTGGGAGTACCAGCCCGCCGCCACATAGTCACAGTCCGTCACGTAGGTGAGGAACCTGGTGGTGCACCAGAGGGCGAGGTACAGGGAGTAGAGCTCTCCCCTCGCCACCACTTGGCGTGGGCCACCCAGCTGGCCGAAGACTGCACCATGTAGGTTGATCTCGGGCAGTAGGCTGGCAACGCATACTATGGCGACTCCAATCCTCATGAAATCGCTGATGCTCGCATCTGGTCCTCCGCTGGCGTCCCCGAAGATCTCGACTGGTGACTCAGCACTCCCCGCCCCAAAGATCCCTTCGGACAGCTCGTTGATGCCCGTGAACTCAAGGACCGTGTCCTTCGGTGGGGGCGGGGTCTGGGTCCACTGGGTCGGTAGCAACCCGCGTAGCCAGAAACACTCGGTGGCGTCCGTCTGGGCCATCGCGGCTGAAACCAAAGACTCTGAGCGATTATATGGCGCGGCCTGTACGTTCTTGCTGCACTGCCAGAATCTGTGCTTGGCCGTCTCTGGTGCCTCTCGGCAGCGGTCACACATGTTGCTGCCCTTATAGCCCTTCAATTCATCATATCGCCTCTGTCGCGTCCAGTATCCACCTGTGGCAATATTGATCAGCAACTCAGTGAGACGCACACCGTGTGGGAGTTGCCCAACTTGTTTGATCAACAGCCGCAATGACCGATTGTCAACTCCCTGCTCGACTCCACCTCCGCAGTAGTGCTTGGCAGCCGCGGTCCATACCACCTGAGCCGCCGACTGACGTACATCCTTCAACAACTCACGGTGTGTGTCGAGAAACTTATTGCCCGTGTATATGGCGTCTGGAAATTGCCATTCCTCCGACCCCGTGGGCGTAGTGTACGACCACGTGTCCACATCTTCAGGGTTCCACTTGATGCGGAGGAGGGTGAGGATCACTGCAGACACTGGGCCCCGAACTGCACGCACCTGATGTTGAGGATCCAGCTGGGATAGGTGGTCTCGGACATGATGCCATACTTGTCGTACTCGCTGGCGCAGACCTGGTTGCTGCTGCCAGACGCTGAGCCACATGTCCACGGTCTTGGCTGGCATCGCCACGGCAGGGTCCCCTCCTGGCGCTCTCAGGTCCAGGAGGGTAGTGAGGCATCGGCCTCTCGTGGCAGCAGCACAGATC